GCCACGTAGACCTTCAGGGTGGAGTGGGTTAGCCCTGCGGAGAAACGGGCCTGCAGGAACTCCAGCACTGTACCGCCTGGGCAGTTAACTGGGCCAAGCTGGCGATCTCCGCACCAAGAAGTGAAAAGTTTCCACTTCAAGGCGTACAGTTAGGTGGACGATCATATCCTCTGCCTGAGAGAGGAGAACTCTCCTGACGGGAATCTCCCATGGAGAGCCATCTAGGAGAGTAATCAGGTCCGAGAACCATACTCGGCCCGGCCAGAATGGGGCTAATAGCAGTCGACGGACCCCGTCCCGGCGCACTCTCTCCAGAACTCCCGGGAGCAGAGCGATCGGGGGAAAGGCGTACAGACGAGGCCTTTCCTAGGGGTCTCATGTACAGCAGGCCAAAAGGTATCACGTTGGACGCAGCTGCCATCAGACCCAGCAGTTTCTGAAACTGCTTGGCAGTGAGTGATCGGCCTTCTCTGACTCTTGTAACTGCAGTGAGGATCAACTCGATCCGAGCAGGGGACAACCGTGCCTGCATCGTGGTCGAATCCCACACCATGCCCAGATAAGTGGTCCTCTGTAATGGAGAAAGCACACTTTTATTGGCGTTTAGTCTTAACCTCAACTTTCCCATATGGGCGAGAATGACATCTCGATGTCGAACCACCGTCTGCTCTGATTGAGCTAGAATCAAACAATCATCGATATAATTTAGTATGCGGATGCCCTGTAGTCGCAGTGGAGCTAGAGCAGCATCCACTCACTTCGTGAAAGTGCGGGGTGAGAGTGCTAGGCCGAAAGGAAGAACTCGATATTGGTAAGCTTCGCCCCTGAAAGCAAACCTCAGGAACTTCCTGTGAGTGGGAAGGATGGAGACATGGAAGTAAGCACCTTTTAGATCTATCGTGACAAACCAGTCCTCGGACCTGATCTGAGACACGACCTGCTTGATAGTGAGCATCTTGAACTTCAGCCGCATGACTAAGCGGTTTAACTGACGCAGATCTAAAATGGGACGCAACCCTCCATTCTTCTTTGGAACGATTAAGTACCGGCTGTAGAACCCGGACTCTCTGTTGTGAGGAGGGACCACCTCGATGGCCTCCTTCCTCAAGAGGGTGTTTACTTCCTGTTCCAAAATCAGAGCCTGCTCGGGGCCCACCAATGTGGGAAAGACCCCGTTGAATGGCGGCGGCGGAGCGCCAAACTGAATGCGATAGCCTTTTTCTACAGTCTGCAGGACCCAACGAGACACATTTGGCAGTAGTTTCCACGCTGCTAAATAGTCTACTAAGGGAACCAGTCTCTCGAGACTGGTCTAGATTGTCGGGACCGCTTTGTCGAGGGCTTCTTCGACTGAAGCATGACCCTCAGATCGGGCCTCACCTTAGAAGCCCCCGGCTTAGAGCGCCGCCGACCTCGGTCCCGTTGCGGGGGAGTACGAGAGGCGACACTCAACTTTTGAACCTCCCTGTATGAGGAGCTAGTACACGTCCGGGGCTACTCCCGCCCAGCAGCCCCCAGAGCTAGAGAACGGCAAGGGAGAAACCGCTGGAACGCCACCGCCTGTTTACAAGCCTCCTGGTATCTGTCGACGACGGAGTTGACGGCGTCGCCGAACAGACCAGAAGGCGCAAGCAGGGCGTCCATGAGGAAGACCCTGTCCTTCTCTTTCATATCGGACAGGCTCAACCACAGGTGCCTCTCCGCTGCCACCAGTGCTGCCATGGACCGGCCGATGGTATGGGCGGTTTCCTTGGTGGCGCGGAGAGAGAGAGATCAGTGGTTCGACTGAGCTCAGTAACATCCTCAGACTTAATGTCCTCGCCCACATCCAGCTCTTTCAGCAGGTCGGCTTTGTACGCCTATCAGACAGGGTCAACCATAAATGTCTCTCCGCTGCCATGGACCGCTTAATGACACGGGATGTCTCCTTGGTGGCGCAGAGAGATAAATCAGTGGTTCTCCTCAGTTCTGAAATATCATCTGCTTTAACTTCTTCACCTTCATCTAGCTCTTTAAGCAAGTCGGCTTGGTATGCCTGCAACACAGCCATTGTGTGCAGACATGCACCAGCCTGACCTGCTGCTGTGTACCCCTTGCCCACCAGCGCTGAAGTGGTTCGCAGCGGCTTGGAGGGCAAGACCGGAGCGTTTAAAGACAATGCCGCGTCGGGAGACAGATAGCTTGCGAGCGTCTGTTCTACCCAGGGCATCGATCTATAACCGCGTTCACCCAACCCCGCCACATTGCCATAATAATCAGAGGCGGGGATGAATAAGCGGGCCGAGAATGGTTTCGCCCATGACCTCGACACCTCTGTGTGAAGGTCGGGGAAAAAAGGCAGGCTCCGGCGTGGAGGTGGCGGCTTAGTTTGCAGAAACCGCTCATCTAATTTACTTTTCTGCGGTTCAGCCTGTTTCTCGGAGGGCCAATCGATGTTTAACTTAGCTACCGCACAAGTAACCACCTCCAACAACTCCTCATACTGGGGTGACTGAGGGGGCGAATCGTCTATCTTTCGACTGAGGGGGCGAATTCTCCTCGGAGGAAGATAGGCGGAGCGCGGAGCCCGCTCCCCGGGGGGAAGAAACCACAGAACGGGCTTCCGATCCCAGAGAACGGGCAGACCTGGTGGGTGAGGAAGAAGATAGGGACTTTGCTCCCAAGCAGACCACGCACAGACTGTGTGTATCCCCGCCCGTGATGTAGCGTGGGCAGGGAGGAACACACAATCTATAACGTGATCTACTTTTGCCCAGATGCTTTGTTTTACTCTCAGCCTTTTTTGACATATTTGGAGCTTATATGTTACTGATTGTGCTTACTTTGACAGACAACAGTAAATAAGACTCACAGAACATAAAATGCGACTGACACACACACAGAGCGCTTGCTGAATGACAGAAAGCTGACGCCGGTTCCACCTCACGTGCTTTTATAGCTTCCTGGTCGCTACGTCACCCGCCTATGACGTCTCGCCCTTCCATTGGACTGAGTACACATGTGATTCAGAGCCGGTCATGCTGAAAGACGTTCCCAAAGCGTTCTCCGACGCAGCTCGAGTTCCTGAAGGGGAACTTACTTTGCAGCCAGTGTAGTCAGATTTATGAACACTTGTATATGAGCCAATTCTTTTTAGTGAATTTAATGAAGTGATTCACAAACTCTTTTTAGACAGTTCTTGTTAGTGAATCAAAAATATACCGTGTGCCCTTTATGAACAATTGACTCTTACGAGACAGTTCTTTTAATGAATCATTCAAAAAGACTTTTTATAGACATTTTACTTTCTGTAGCTTACTCTAATGTTCTTTTTGGAGTTTATAACTCCAAAAATGAAATGAAATGTTTATGGGTTCATAATTTTATAATAACTGTACACAGGGGCGACGCTAATGGGGGGAAAGTTAGGATGATTCTAAGGGCCCACGCACGTTTGGGGCCCCCAGAGATCTGTTTTATTAGTACCGGTAGTTAACGGTAGTAACAGTAATGTAATAGAAATTATAAATGTATCTACCTAATAGTTACAAATAAAACAAAATTACGGCTTATTTCTGCATTTCCAGCAAAATTATCTCCCCCCATTCACTGCATGGTTTCGTCCCGTCCTACGTAGCCTAGGCTGCGTTCAGCCCCTACAAAAACAGTGAAAAACGTTTTTTAAACGGAAACGGTGGTGCGTTGAACACCCTGTTCTGATGACGCAAGAGTTGCAACTATGGCAGCTGAGAAGGCCATTCTCTGTTTTCTTTTTGAAGAATTTTCGGAGCCTGATGAAATCGGTATAAATACGTGTTTAATACTGCAAAATACGCTCGATGTTACAGTCACTGCCCTTGCCGTCCAGAAAAGAGAACATCCCAATTGAGTGAAGGGATTTGTGGAAACTGTGGTTCCTAATTATTGTGATCCAACATTTGCCTCGCATTTCAGGATGAAAAGACAAACATTTCAGGTGAAGGATAATCCATTGTACGCATATGTACAAGTCATTGGTGGTTGGCGATGAGTTTTTATTTTTATTTTATCGAGTTTTCCGGTAGGGTGGCCAACCTCATTTTCTTTCATAGGGCCCAAAATTGCTAGCGGCGCCTCTGACTGTACACATTTACACAACTAAAATATGCCCAAATTAATCGATAGCCTGCCCTAAACTGATCCTTTTTCTTTAGAAGATTATGAAGACCTCTGAACTTCTTGAACCTTTTGCTTACTTAATATGTTTGTGGTTAAGCAGAATGATCAGAAGTTGCACCACAATATTGTTTATGTAAAACAGCTTATGAACCAACCTCAAATGTGTCTGGGTAGGTTTTCATTCATGAATATCAGAGAGAGTTCATTCATTTCAGGAAAGATGGTGAAAAATTTAGTCTAATTATAAATGGCTGAACTCCACCTGACACAGCGTGTCAAGCCACATCGAATAAACATAAAAGAGAACTGAAAGTTCCATAGGAAAAACATTTTATTGAAAAACATTTTCAGTTTGTAACAGACTGGTGGAATGTGTGCCATTTCATTTCTATGACTTTATAAGGTTGCACGTCCTGACCAGATCTTACTGCGAGAGAAGGATGGGCGCATTGGGTCATCGGGAAACGATAGCAACAGAAAGATAACAGGAAATGGAGAAGTTAGGGAAAAACTCAATTGATAATACTGAGGTTGTGTACAAACTGGGTAGAAAAAAAAAGCAAAAACAAAGAACTAATTAAATAAATATCTATGGTACACACGTATGGCACAAATATGCAGCAAGCAGTCAGTTTGGCAATTCTCTATCTCATTTTCATTTTTAAACCAGATCACCATGGGAGCAGTGCAAAAAGGTTGAGTGGGAGGGGTCTGACGAGTGCTAGCTAAAATACATAGCAAAAAAATCCACTTCTATACAAAACATCTTACTTAAAGAGTTTATAAAAAACAATTGATTGGGTTCGTCGTCAATATTTACACAAGTTATTTACCAAAAAAATTAGTATGCTCTCTTTTAACTGAAGTGATTCATGTTTTTTTTTTTTTTTTTAACTTTTTTATTTGCTAGAAATGTGAGAATAAGGCTATTGTAACAACCGGGGATCCATATACAATACAAACAATAAGGTATATACAGCCTCTCACCTACAGATGTACGGTGCAAAAACTAGAGTCTCGTGAACTTACAAGCAAGGCATTTTACAGTGGCCCGAAGACACCTCTCCCAGCGTTTCGCAAACCTTCCGCCCACATCGGTGCAACATCTTATGCTACTAGCTAAGTCCTACCGCTCCTAAAATGTTACGGGAACGTTTGCAACCTGCTTGCCAGGACAGTGTCTTCGGATTCAAAGAAACTAAGGAGATTGTCATATTTAGCCCATATGGGACAGCAACCGAACAGCAATATGTTTGTGGTTTTTGTGGTGTGTCTTCTATAGTTTCAAACAACTGCTCAGTCTTCAATATGTATTTGTGTGTGTAAGCGTTCATGTTTCACAGTTTACCTTGAACCTACAGCACAAAGTAAAAAATAAAATAATAATAATAACACACCGGGTTGTAGTGTTTTCGTATGCTGTATTATTTCATTTAATTTTCAGTGGTTAAGAACACTTTTCCATAGGTGAACGTATATCATCTTTTTTTCTCAATTGTTATAAAAATAAATAAAAATTGCATATTTGCAGATTTTGTGGCCTCTTACAGAGGCACAAAGCTTCTGATCACACAAGGCTTGGCTTCTCGGTGAGATTCAAGAACCTCCATGAACAAGTGAAAACAAAACGGATGAACAGTTAATGTGCGACTATGGCAATCCAGTCAGTTTGTGGACATTTTCAACTCTCAAAGTCCACCTTTGGTGAACGATTTTGATTTCAATGTAAGAAACAAATAAAGATAACTGTCTGCAGGCTGGCATTGCTCACAAAGGGTTTCGCACGAATGACGACACACACGTAAGGGGTTCCAAAATCCTCTGGGAGCTGCGGGTTGTGGGATACTCTGGCCTCTGCTTGGCGACTTCCTCTCTAAAACGCACGCTAAGTCCACTTGTGACCTCCATCGATCATAATGTGTTTTTTCCCCCTCCAGAAACCTCCCACAATTTGAGCCTGAAAGATCCCATTTCATGCAATTTACTACATTTAGCCTGCGCTCATTCTCATCTGGTATGTTCACTAACCCACGTCTACTGCTTTTCTTCCAGATTAAGGGGCCTAATTTCGACCCAGAGCACATCTGAGCTTCATCAACAGAGGCAGGCAGGCCAGAGAAGTTGGTTTAGTCGGGACTATGTTAGACGTGCCCTTCCTTTGGTCCGTTTCTGGCCATTCCCTCTCATTCCTTTCGGCTATTTTAAAACCCAACATGCTGTTTTCCCTGAGGGCTCCTTCCAAAGCCACCCCTTCCCTGGCCATGAGCGCATGTGCTTTTTGTGCGGGTATGTGTGTGTGTTTGTTGTCAAAAGGCAGCTATTCATGTAGGGATCAATGGAAAAAAGCAAATAGAAATATCTGTTAACGAAAAGGAAAACTCGAAGCTTGCATAATGTGCAGATTCGCCATAAATTATTCATGTTGTTGCTGTTTCACGCTAACCTGTCTGTATGGTATCATAAATAAAGTCTACGTGCACTCTTTCCAACCGTTTTCATCTACAGCTAAACAAATCCATAAAGAAATGCTAATTAAATCTTTTGTTTCATTCAAAACTAAACAATTATATCTTGATGTCCCTGTGCTTTTGAGCAAAAACGTAGAGCACCAGTTCTTCTTTTCCACAATCTGCACAGGCCACTGGTGAAAGAGAATGTGTGTGTGTGTGTGTGTGTGTGATGGCAGAAATACTAGAATAACAGGAACTTTTGCAGCGACATGCCTGGGGAAGGCGGCCATTTTGTGTCAGAGATGACAGATTTTCCTATTGAGCCTTGAGTGATTCGCTCCCTGCAATCTCTGTCTTAATGTGTTTTCATGAGTTTGTACTCCACGTGGGAAAGGTGGTGAGGCTTTCAAAGTGCTGCTAAAGTGTTCATGTGGGTCCTCCACCTTCCCAGCAGGCATCAGGACAACAACTGTACCAAATATCGACGATCTTTCCTTCCTTCCTTCCTTCTTTCTCTGTTTGTCTCATTTTTCCAGCCCTGGCAGCAGATGTATATGAAATGAAATGTGTGTATGTGTCTTCCACACTACTAAACGGCACATAAACCAGCACAAAAGGATCTCTATGATGATACATATTAGTCTTCTACCAAACGAATCTGCAAGTGGACTGCACTGGGAATGACAAAAAGAAATGCACGCGAGACGCATGACCATACAAAAAGACTTCAAGTAAACATCGTGAGTCATTTTGTAGAGGTGAACAAATGAGGAGAGCTAATGTGAATGAAAACAGTACGAGTGAACGTGCAAAAACAGATGATGTCCATTCAAATGTCCAACAGTAGGCTCCGGAGAGCTTCCTGCTTCCTCGATAAATCCACTTCCTGTAGCTCTGGCCAATAGGCTGCATTCACTTCCTGTTTTGAGACGGATCAGCTAATCGGCCAAGCTAAATAATCAGCTCAAGTTCATATTTCTTGCTCTGTGATACTGTCACGTCACTTCTCTTCTCCATCTCCGTGTGTTGTGTCTCTAAGGGAGATGATGTAGTGGAAAAAAGAGGAAGAATCATTGTCTTGACCTCTCTTTTCACAGCCACCCCCTCAAACCCCCTCTCCTCGTCTGATTCACACACACTCCCTCATACAAATGCTATAGTATCCGTTGTAGTGCACCTCAATCTCCCGGAGGGTTTCTGTTGTCTTTTTTGTCATTTTCTATTTGTTTGTTTCATTTCTGCAGGTGCAAGAGCAGCGAATCAGGAGAGTCACTCCACCATCAGCAGCATCTATACCGAGAGTAATAATCAGCAATATTGTAAAATAAACAAGAGCAACAAAAAAATAAGAGGGGGCAGGAAGAGGGTGAGCTCAGGTGTCGATTCCGCCCACGGGGGGTTCATCGAGGGGCATGTGGGGGGTTAGAGTTAAAACGTCCGAAAGAAGCGTGTCCATTTTCACACTTTATAATAGATGTTTGCTGGGCTTTGAGGTGGCATTTCCTGTACGATGTAAACGGGGTGTCCGTAATCGCCACTCACTTTCTCGTAATGCGGGCAGAAGACACTGTCAGCAGTCCGCAGCGGGATGATGATGTCACTCGGCTCCGAGCCGTTGTTGTTGCCTCCGCTGCTGCCCCTCTTGGGCGTGGCTAATGTACTGAGTGACAGCGTGGTGGCGTGCTGAGGTGAGATGACGCTGGCTGAGGCGATGCAGGCGAACAGGGCAACCTCAGAGCCGATGACTGAGGATGATTTATTTCCATCTCCCTTCTCTTCTCCTTGTTGAGATGCATCTAAGAGGGAAAAACAACAACATGAACTTAGCAAAAAAAGCAATGAGCAACTAGTATTAAGGACTGTGCACACCAATGACGACAACTATAACAATAATGATAACTACAATATAGTTTAACAATCGTCCATTGGTCTGGATGCTAATATACTGTAGTTATAGTTATTTTTTAGTTATCGTTCTTGGTGTGAACAGGCTTTCTGACTAGAAAGGAAGTGGCCCACTCATAAGCAATTAAAAAGATGCCTTGACACTAAATGAAACGTCTTTTATTTATGGTGAAATAAATTTACATGTATTTATTTAGCAGACGCTTTTATCCAAAGCAACTTCCAAAGGAGAGAAAACACAAGCGATTGATCATAAAAGAGCCGACGGTATTAGAAGTGCAGTGAAAACAAATTTCAAGAAGAAACCAGAGTACAAAGCTTGAGTAGCAGCGTAAGTGCTGAAGAGAAAAAAAAGATATTTTTTTAATAAGAATTGCCTTTATCTAAATGGTTTAAATGATTTAGTTATGTACTTGTGGAAGCCGTCGGTTTTCTGAAAGACATTTTGAACTCAAAAATGTGTATTAGGATAGATAACGTCTAAGAAACACTCCGTGATCGTGGAAAGCTGTGGACAGAGTGACCTCGCACGGCTTTGGACTCCAGTGAGTTTGTCTGGAGCGGCCCAGATGAGTCTGGCGGAACAGATGAGCTGCTAACACTCACACTCAGGCTGTTTTACAAGTGGATTATTGTACCTAAGACACTCCACTCAAATGACTTTGATGTCCATATGCTTGTACGTAGAAGGAGAGATGCTGAATTCTACAATGAATGCGTTCCAGCAAGTCCGTCTTGCTCTGTCACATTAACGATTTACTTGTCAGAAGGATTTTATGAGAACAAATCAGTGTGCATATTGTTGTGACAGAGGACTGGTACTTGCTCAGCAAAAAGAGGGATTAAAAAGCAGAGAGAATGATGAATCAGTGAGCGTCCCCTTACAGATGTGTGAGGTGATAAAGTGTGCGACGTACCGGGCTTGTCAAGTACTTCATTCGATTTGGTCTCCTTGCCCCCTGCGTCGGGGTGTTTGGGAGGGTAACTGGTGGGGTATTCTTTGGGGGAAAAGGGATCGGAGGGGTCTGCAAATCATAGATAAGAAACACATTCATCACTCTGATATATGTATGCATTTTAATGTGGAGAGCTATTACTTTCATGCTGCTCAGCGAAATAAAAGTGTGCGTGTGTGACTGATATCGACCATGAGAGAGTGAGTGTGTGTGTTCATCATTAAAACACAAGCAGCCATGATTAATCTAGTGACCTTCAACTTGTGTCTGTATGTTTGTGTGAGAGCTAGAAATTCAGTCGCTTGTGTTGGTGGGTGTGGCCTATGGTAATTACCACAGATTACACTGGTGAGGTGATTTATGAATAATCGTCATTAATTACAGTGCAGGGTCTGCAGCAGGTTCGAAGGGCTTTCCTATTGTTCTACACCCTCGTGCCCACAGTAAAACAGCTATTAGACACCCACATACACACATGACCGTGAAACGATTACTCACTTTGTCCAACCTTCATGATGATTTTCATCGACTTGGTTTTACACACCCCTCCTTCCTGATTATCCAGTCCTTCCATCGTTCCATTAGATGTAGCTGAAACACAATGACAAAAACAAGAACTTTAGCAACATGATATCAACATGTGTTGCAATTATATATGCAAATACATAACTGAGATTGATCAAAGAAGTTACAAGCTATTTAGATGATGTAACTGCAACATTAACACAACTAATGAATATTCATACAGTCAAATATCTGTGCAGAGCCTTCATAAATCATGTAACCAAACTTTTAGTAGTCCTAGCTGTGCCATTTATGATTTTTTTTTTTTTTTGCACAGGCCAAAATTGTGTTTGTATTGGTGTTGAAAGATGAAATGGTCAGAAAGTGTGCCTTTGCTCTTTAACAATTCAATAGGAAATAAGAAGGATTAAAGGAATAATAAAAAGGAATAATAAAAATGTTGTTTACCAGTGAGGCGAAGGCCTCTAGCACCAGGAGTAGTTGTTAATAATTTAGCGAATAAGGCACATAGAGAGAGTGCTATTAATGAATGTGAGGTTCGGAGCGTGTTTAAGAGCGTGTAACACTTTAGCCACAGCAGATGTTTCTCAAGAAACAAGTGAGCAAGAACAAAATAGACTTTTTTGTAAAGTTTTCTACATGCAATTTGACTTTACAATAACATCAATTTGAACTGAATTAAGCCGTTTGACATCTTTATCTTTTGCTAAACAAACTATCAGCAGTATTCTGGCCACTGGTCCCACGTGTCCTATGTGGGCTTTTACCCGAACAATGTAGCTATGCCATGTGCGTGTGTGTGTCCACGCCCGGCAGGCTTGCGGTCTATTGGGTCAGTAACACAGAGCTAACGAGCTTCCAAGGGCTTAACGTCTGGTCAGCGTCCAGAACAATGTGGCCTGCATTCAGAGAGAGAGAGAGTAAGAGAGAAAGAGACAGGGGAGGGATGTGGGAGTCTATGAGGCGCCTGTCCCCCCATCATCACTTTTTTTTCCAATGCTGCCACTTTGATGAAGTGGATGGAGTGTGAGTGAGTTATGTGTGCACCATGTGATGGATCTTTCTGATTCTGCGTTTCTTCTTTATTTGTTTGTAAGGACTGCACTGCAGCATGACACCATCTGACTCTCTCTGCTGCTTCTTTGACCTGTGGCTTTTTAGTGTTGAGAAGAACACAAGCTCATTACATGTAAAGCTCCTTAAAAGCTTGCGTTCCTTTCAGTGTGTTCATTTCATTAATCTGGCAAATGAGCCTAAAAACGCACACATTAAAGCAAACACATTGCTTAAACAATAATCACATGATGATCTCACATTCCAGGTCAACAGTATACCATCACATGACACACACAGTTTATTTAATTTTAGTTGAAGTGACAAGTTGATTAGTATACAAAGATACTTTTAAAGCACTTCTTCATAGATGAGTTTAAATTAAATTAGAGTGTTTGACTTTGAACTGACAGACCAGCTGGCAAAGAGTATTTGTGTGTGGGACAGGTTTGGCCTACATTGTAAAGGCCAGATTTCCCCAAATGGATAGTAAAAACCTGAAACCTACATTGTGGAGAGCAGCAAGAGGGCTCAATGAAGTAAAAAAAAAAAAAAAGGTTTAATAAATAAGCTAAATACTTTAATTGAAAAATAAGGCTGAAAATGTTGTTCATTGATAAAATAATAATAAAAAAAAAATTAGAGCAGTACAAAAACAATAAAGGTACATGAAAAGTGCCCAACATAATAGAAAACTATTTTTATTCTAAAATGGAAAGGTTTTCTTTTAGCAGTACATTTGGGTTTTGGCTTAGTCTGCAGTATGTATTGTATGTGTCATATATAAAAACAACAGTTGACTAGGTTATGCTCCCAGCTAGATAAATGTGTCTGTGCACTACATGTGGACTCAAAAACCCAATACTGTTTGGTGAAACCCTATCAAGCTCAAACAGACTGCGAGATATGTAAAGTTCTGCCATGACAATAGGGCAACCAGTGGGACAGGACTGGAAAATGACACCATGAAACATGCATTAAATGCTCAGAAACGTTTGCGTAGTATTATATTTAAACATAAAATGATTTTTAAAATAATAATAATTATTATCATTAATCTTCTTATTATTATTATTAACATAATTATAAATATATATATATATATATTAATTGGAAAATGACACCATGAAACATGCATTAAATGCTCAGAAACGTTTGCGTAGTATTATATTTAAACATAAAATGATTTTTAAAATAATAATAATTATTATCATTAATCTTCTTATTATTATTATTAACATAATTATAAATATATATATATATATATTAATTTTGTCTATTAATAACTTGACTAATGATTTAGCAATACAGGTACTTGAATGTGAATGCGAGTTGTGATGATGAGCTGTAGCTGTTGTTGTGAAGTTTGACCTGATCAACATGGCGTCAGGGTCACAGAGTGGTGAACAGCACTCAGGCCAATAATGAGAGCTGACACACAACAATACATACACACAAACATTGTACATCTACTCTAATAAGATATGGCATTGCACCTCGAAAAGCTCTCACTGGCTTTGAACAAAGCCAAACAACATGTCTCTCTCTTTATGTCTCTTTAAGTCAACAATGCTTCATTGGCATGATTGTTAACATTAATAATATTGTCAAAGCATATAAAAAAAAAGAAATTACAACAAATAAAACAACGAAACGAAAAGGAAAGGAATGAAGGTTGAAAATAGAATAAAAATAGAAAAGACTTTATACTAAATATATGATTTAATGTTAGAAATCACTTATCAGTAATACATGCTCATCATTGTTGGTTTCTACTGACATGCTCGCCCTCAGGCAATGGCATGCTGTTACATAACTAGTTGCTAAGGGGCATTGGTTTAATTTTTCATCATCTGTCAGTGAGGAAGTCTGAAAACTAATTCAAAGAAAGTGAAATTGTCTCTCTCTGTTTCAGGCCCTGAACCGGCAACTTAGATAACTTAGGAAAATAGACTGACTTGAAGAATAACCAGTTACAGACACTGTCCTAATTAAAACGGATGAAACGATAATTAAAACTGCAAACGTAAACCTGTTACATTCAACTTTTTAAGCACTACTGGCTTTTTTTGTTACTAATGAACTATTATTCTATTCTTAAGGGAATAAATTACCGAACACACCTTTAAGATTTACATAGACGTAATTTGTCTGTGCTTTATTCAATTATCACATCTTTCTACAGATTGTATTCTTTTTTATGAAACATTCCTGCTCTCTCTAGCTCTCTCTAACTCTCTCTCTCTTGCCATATTTAGATCATGTATCTCTCTTCTGGCTTCCAGCTCGAGGGCAGTCTGTCAGACCAGATCACATCAAACTCATATTCACACACACAATCATATCAGAGTCATCAGCATCAGGCTGCATATGAACAATAGAAGAGCCATTTAATAGTTTGGCCAGCGCACACCAACACACACCAGGGTTCAACAATAAAGCAATAAAAATGGACGATGACCCGGGGTCAGTTTGAGTGAGCTTTAGGCCAGGTGACCAACTGCATGCTTTTATCACGTACATAAGCAAAAGTGTGTTTACACACATACATCTGTCATGATGTATGAAAATGTTTAGGGCCTGTATATATATATTTTTTTTTTATGTTTTTGAAGTCTCTTATGCTTATGAAGGCTGCAAAATCAAAACAATGTAAAAACAGCAATATTGTGAAATACTGTTACAATTTAAATAAAATGTTTTCTACTTTAATGAAATGTATTCCTGTAATGGAAAAACCTGAATTTTCAGCAGCCTTTACTCCAGTCTTCAATGTCACATGATCCTTCAGAAATGATTCTAATATGTCATTTGGTGCTCAAGAAACATTATTATTAATGTTAAAAACAGTTGTGATGCATAATATTTATAATACATTGTTTTTAATATATATTTTTTAATATTTATAATACACAGCTTTTGAAATAGAAAATAGTTTTACATAGATTATTGTTTTTGTAACAGTGTGGTCTTTACTGTCACTTTTGATCAGTTTAATGTGTCCTTGTTGCATAAAAGTAAAAAACAATGAGCCCAACCTTTTGAACCATAGTATAAATACAGTGAACAGTGAACAATGAACAATATATGTATAACATTTTTTGACACATATTAAAATATGTTGCTCAAAAATAGCCGTTTATCGTATTTATGTGAAAAAGTTGTAAGGCTAAGTAAAAACCTATACTACTGACCTAAAGAAAAGATCCTCATCGTTGAGTCCTGCACACACACACGCACACAGATGTTTGGCTTGCTGAACACATTTATAAGGGATTGAAATCATCTGATTGGTTTCTGAGCAGATCCAATTGATAAAGACAGAGTGATTAAACTGAGCTATTAGGATTAAACTTTTTAATTAATGACTTATCGAATAAACCCCCCACCACACACAGCAGTCATACGTCTCTGCACTTCACAACACACACACACACACACGCACACAAACGACTCCAGCTGTACACCAGGGCAATTATCATCTACAATGCAGCAAAATGAACTCATTTCTCTTTCTCCACCTCCTTTTTCTCTCTTTCCCTTTTCTTTCTACAAATTAGAGTTGCTTAAAGGGGTCATATGATGCAGTTTTAAGTTTTCCTTTCTCTTTGCAGTGTTACAAGCTCTTGGTGCATAAAGAAGATCTGTAAAGTTGCAAAGACTAAAGTCTCAAATCCAAAGAGATATTCTTTATAAAATTTTAAAAATAATGTGTTTTTTGAACATTAAAGCATGTCAACATATTCTGTTACACCAAATACACAAAATAATGATCTTTAAAATAGCATCATATGACCCCTTTAAGAGAAACTGAGAGAGAGCAAAATAAAGGAGGAGAGAATTTTCCCAGAACTGCAAAATTGGATTTTCTCCTTATGCTGGAAGTGAACTCTCATTGCGAGGGACAGCGAGAGAATGGCTCAGGTCTGGGCAATGAGATTGACGCTGTGTATCAAAGCAGTCTCTGTTTGTGTGTGTGCGCGTTATTCCATTTGCTAGAACCCTGCATTTCTCTTCCACCTCACCCGCTGTTTAAGCAGCTTGCTTTGAGCCTGAAGTGTGTGTGTGTTGAGGCCAGGTGAGCAGTTATTGTTTTCGCAAATGTGAAAATTCAACCCACATGCAAAATGATACAAAGCGAATACGAGAAGTCATTTGTGTTTGTGTACATACGCGTTCATGGTCAAATGCCACTCACAAACAGAAACCTTCCATCTCTGTAACTCTGGAACTAACAACTACTCCAGCCAACATAAACAAACACTAGCAAATGTGATATAAACGTGTCATTATTTGCACCATGACTCACTAAAACATTGCTAATGTAGTTCACGCCACAACGTCAACCTTTCCCGATACTCAAAACCACATAAACAAACCCAAGCTAACGTAATTGACCAGAACGGTGCGGTAAGGGTGGTTTACAGATATCCGCTGACATACTCACATATAATGTAGTAGTCTTTCCCCCTAAAGAACTCCAGGCCCCAAAGGTTTGGGCTGAACTCCTGGAATTTGAGGGTGAATTTGACGTCCTGGTCCGGTTTGACGCAGTTGAGTAGAGGCGTGTCTGCCTTTGTGACCTGACAGGACTTTAGTTGTTCCAGAGGAACCATATAGAGTTTATAATACTCCACTCCTTCCGTAGAGCCGCCCTCCACGCGTGGGCAAACTATGTCCATCTTATCCCCGATCTGTGGATACAGCACCAGACCCTGTCCTGGCACGAACCTTTGAGAGAAAGAGAGACGGAGAGAGAGTGAGACACATCATAGATGATAAATAATATTCGAACTGTTCTCAGGATCAAAAATATGCTGGATCGTGAAGCATAGTGCTGATCAATAATTAAAAAAGAGGATGATTAATTATTTAGCAGTGATTATAAATGATAAAACGGGTTCTAAAGAACTAGCTGGATCATAAAATCGTAGGAGAGTAACTGAAACGATCCTAAACTGCATGCACGAGTGTTTTTAAAGGGTTAGTTCACCCAAAAATGAAAATTCTGTCATTAATTACTCACCCTCGTGTTGTTCGAAATCCGTAAGACCTTCATTCATCTTCGGAACACAATTTAATTACATTTTTGATTAAATCTGAGGGCTCTCTGACCCTCCCATAGACAGCAAGGTAACTACCACGTTCAAAGTCCAGAAAAGTACCAAGAAGATCGACAAAGTAGTCCGTGTGACATCAGTGGTTCAACTGTAAAGTTACGAAGCTACGAGAATACTGACCAGATCCGGCGCTGACCCAGATCCGGCATGATGACGTCATTACGCCGGATCTGGGTCAGCACCGCCACAAGCTCGCGTCATGGTACTGTCGTGAACACGCGTCCACAAGTGATGCAGTAGAGACGAAAATGTGGAATTAAGTTGTTATTTTTGTTTTCTTTGCGCAAAAAAGTATTCTCGTAGCTTCGGAAACTTTACAGTTGAACCACTGATGTCACATGGACTACTTTTGTCGATCATCTTGGTACTTTTCTGGACTTTGAACGTGGTAGTTACCTTGCTGTCTATGGGAGGGTCAGAGAGCCCTCAGATTTCATCAAAAATATCTTAAATTGTGCTCCAAAGATGAACGGAGGTCTTACGGGTTTGGAACAACATGAGGGTGAGTAATTAATGACAGAATTTTCATTTTTTGGTGAACTAACTCTTTAACTTCCTTTATGAGAAACCAGAAAAGAAAATGGAGCAGCTAGAATGAGACAAAGGTGTTGACTCATGGCTCATACTTCAGAAAAAAGACAAATAGTCTCTCAGATGCCAAGCGCTTAAACAGCAGCGCTGTGAAAAGAAAATGATGTCATGAGAAATAAGGAGGAAAAGTGCAGCAGCTCGCATCAGGCGACGCTCCCAGCCATCTGCCTCGAGGGACTAAAACAGGAGTAGCTGGGAAAACTGCTCTGCTGTGTGTGTGTGTGTGTGTGTGTGTGTCTGTGTGTGTGTGTGTGTTTGACGTGCAGCAGGGTAGCTGTCAGGACTATCTGCACGACAGATCTAGCCACGCAAATCCTCTCAAGCCAAACACTGGATTGCTATCTCGCTCATGTCTTATCGCTACGCGAGCTTATTTGAAAAGCCAAGAACAGTTTGCCTGCATATGTGTATGATGTGCTCAAATATTTGCTTTGGGATCGTTCTAAAGAAGAGGGTGAGACTCGTAAATTCCCAGAGTAAAACATGTTCACACCTTAAAAGTTTACACACACATACACACACCTACAAAACCACAAATCTGCTCTTTTTTCTCAAATAGAAAAAATTTGCATTTGCAACAGAATACCTTTCCCCTCTTAAATATACAGGTTTCAAAAGGGGGGTTTTACAGCAATCCCAATGAAGAACAATTCTTGGTTCAGTGAAACTTTCAGTGAACAGTTTTTCTTAGTATGAAGAACATTTTAATAATCTGAAGAACCTTTCTTCTATTATAAAGAACATTTTGTGCATTGGAAACGTTAAAGGTTCTTCAAGGAACTATCAACACGAATAAATCATCTTTACTTATAAGAGTGTACATTCATATATACCACATGATAATTCTATTAACCTCTGTTTTGTTGCATTTAATGGGCGAACACAACTGAGCAGTGAACCGGAGAGATAGGCCAAATGCAGCATGCTAGTTGCTATACACATTGTTGCAGCCCAGTCAGTCATTATCCTAAACCACAGGGTATACAAGTTCACCCCGCAGCCTATACGCACACATTCCGCTATTAAAAGGGTGTTTTACGTGTCTATATTTTACAGGAGCCACTGTTAAAACTGTCTAGCTTTAGTTTTGAGTAGGGAGCGGGACATAAAAGTGGGGGGTATTTGAACAAATAAAGCCAGAGGTCACACTCATGTTTGTAAATGGCTTTAATCCTTGTCTAAAAGACACACTTTAACCCCCAACCTTAGCCTTGGTGATTCTCACAGTGGTCGTAAATATTCTGCGACATGTGAATGTGAAAAAGAAAAGGATGACAGAATAAGGGTTTGCACACGTTTAACACAGACCGCTCATTCTGTTAACAAGACTGCAGCTGCACACAGAGAAGCCATTAAGTCGGAAAAGGTGTGCATGTGTAAGAGCAAACGGTCAGGACATGTGCAGTACATCTAAGGAGACATGGCTGTGCCACTTGAGGACGTTTCTCCATAATTTCATTTGTGATCCACATTTGTCCCTCTTATATCTCTGTTTTTATAAGGCATCTGTTTTATCTTTTCTTTTTGTCTTCTTCCCACTGACTCATTCACTTGTGCTCAGACTGAAATATTCATTTTTGGCAGCCTTTCTAAAAGCACTTCAAAAGTAAGTCATTTAAATAAACTCATATACATTAAAACAAAAGAAAAGAGAAAGTGGTTAATGAGTATAAGACTTTCAGGACTCTCTCTGGCAACTTAGGCATGATATAAACGATAAAACTGAAGCTGAGAAACAGCTGGGCTGGATGGACGTCTGAAAGGTGTTAAAGAGTATAGGATAAGACATCTGTTTTTTTTGGGGGGGGGGGGGGGGG